AATGGAAAATTTGGAAAGAATTAGATTGTTGCTAATTTGCTTAATGTTAGTATTAATAATATTTTGCTCATTAATAATTTGTGGTAAAATGTTAACTTATGGAATAATAATAAAGTTCATGATGGGTTGGAGTAATCTCAAGGATGACGATAGTGTCTACATCGTATAGACCAGTTCTGAGGGATTTTCCTTCCTCTAATTAAAAAGAAACAGAAAATGAAGTTTCCAGTTAAAATTTGAAATGAAATAAGTAACAGAGCAATAGGAAAAACCTCGATAAATCCAGAGAGAGAAACTCATTTTGGGCGGTTCATACAGGCTCTGATTGTCGGAAGGAAAACCCGCAACTCCCGAAATTTATCCTGTCGTAGAAATGTTTATCTCTGGATTCCGGAAAATCTCGATTAAAGAAAATATAGTTAAAACCTCGAAACAGATAAAACCCGCGAAAACAGTTAATACAGATAAGTCAGATTTTACGAATTAAGAATTTGACTGAAAATGAATCGCGTAAGCCTCATCAATTAACCCTGGACAACTGAAGCATTCGGCGAATGAACAGCGGGAATTATTTATTGACGATTTAAATTATTCCAACAAAAGATTCATTACAGTCTTGGCGCCCGAACAAAGGACTCGAAAGGGGATAAAGGAAAAACAGAAGGAAAATTTGAAGAGCTCCTCAGAGCAAATGGAACTCAGAAAAATTAAAACTTGAAAATTTGACAATTGAAATCTCGAATAAACCGGAAAATTTGAAACTCGTAATTAAAGATAAATCTCGAAATAAGAATTTTAAATAATAATCCGGAAAAGACGGAATTTAAAATCAGAATTTAGATTCACCGTTAATTAAAAGAAATAAAAGAATTCGGTAATTTTAAGTAGTTTCAAAATGGCACCGAAGAACAAGGTATCCTGGATCTATGGAATCAACAAGGCACAGTTGGTCATGGAATTGGAACAGCGTGGGTTCAGTACGGAGAGTACAGTTCCCGATCTCAAGGTCAGATTGAGGGAAGCCATTGGAGAAGAAGTGGTAACCCCAGAAAAGAGTAATAGCAGTAGCAAAAATAACAGCGAACGAAACAGCAGGAGCGGTACTAAACCGTCTAGCAGAAAGGCGTCCAAAGAGCTCAGCAGAGATAACATCCCATTGAAAGACCTGAAGGAAGCTGGGACGTCTGATGGAAGAAAGCCAGAATACTACGATAATCTGGATGACACAGAAGAAAAGAAATCTGAAGAAATTTCCCCAGAAGAACTGTGGAAAGCACTAACGGAAGTTAAAACTAAACAAGAGGAGCTAGCTCGCCAGCAAATGCCTCCACCACAGCAAGTCGCGGTAAAAGGGAAACCGAAACTTGTCTCAAACATTTTGGTTGGCCCAGATGATAATAATGTGAAAGAAGGGTATGGAAAATACCAGCAAGAAAGACTGAGAATGAGCCCACGGAATCTGATCCTAGAGGATCCAGAAAGGATCATTTCAGAGCACGCCATGCAGAGCATAGACGCCATGATTCAGCACATCGAGACTTCGATTACAGGAATCCTCATTCTCGTTATGAGTATCCGGAACCGCAGAACACAGCAGAACTAATCCGGAAGTGGAGAGTTACCTTTGATGGGAAAGAAAGTGTTCTAAACTTCCTGGAGAGGACAGAAGAGCTGAGGGAAAGTTCTCACATCTCTTATCGTACCTTACTCGAGAATGTTCCAGTGATGTTGGTGGGAGAAGCCATCTTCTGGTACAGAAATAATAAACGTCTCTGGTATTCTTAGCAAGATTTTGTTCATGATTTGAAGGCTCATTTTCTACCTCGAAGTCACTTGCTGAGACTAGAGAGAGAAATGAATGATCGTATTCAGAAGGAAGGCGAGAGAATCAGAGTCTACGTAACAGAGGCTCTCACTCTCATGCGCAGACATGGCAGATATTCGGAAGAAGAGAAACTGGAAAGATTATATTTCAATCTGATGGGAATATAAAAATCATATCAGAAAGATCGACTGTCGAACAATAAATGACTTGATAGCATTGGGCAGCGATTATGAGAGTGAAGTACTGGAACTCGACAGAGA